GTCTGCATCAATAGGAGCATAGTGCCTAGATCTAGGGAAGTCATGCTCCCCATGCTCTATTCCGCCTTGGTTAGACCACACCTGGAATATTGTGTCCAAGTTCTGGGCACCACAATTGAAGGAGATTGACAAGCTGGAATGTGTCCAGAGGAGGGCGACTAAAATGATCAAGGGTCTGGAGAACAAGCCCTATGAGGAGCGGCTTAAGGAGCTGGGCATGTTTAGCCTGAAGAAGAGAAGGCTGAGAGGAGATATGATAGCCATGTATAAATATGTGAGAGGAAGCCACAGGGAGGAGGGAGCAAGCTTGTTTTCCGCTTCCCTGGAGACTAGGACGCAATGGAACAATGGCTTCAAACTACAAGAAAGGAGATTCCATCTGAACATGAGGAAGAACTTCCTGACTGTGAGAGCCGTTCAGCAGTGGAACTCTCTGCCCAGAGTGTGGTGGAGGCTCCTTCTTTGGAAGCTTTTAACAGAGGCTGGATGGCCATCTGTCAGGAGCTTTGAATGTGATTTTCCTACTTCTTGGCAGAAAGGGGTTGGACTGGATGCCCCACGAGGTCTTTTCCAACTCCAAGTTCTAGGATTCTATGATTAGTGGGATAAGCCCTAAGAGATCAAGGGATGAGGAGGAAAAGAAGGACTTATGGGCTCTGTTACTATAATAATAATAATAATAATAATAATAATAATAATAATAATAATAAGTGGGATAAGCCCTAAGAGATCAAGGGATGTGGAGGAAAAGGAGTGCTTAGGGGGTCTGTTAATATAATATAATATTAACAACTATAATAATAATAGAAACAAAACAACAACTAATAATAATAATATTAATAATAAGTGGGATAAGCCCTAAGAGGTCAAGGGATGTGGAGGAAAAGGAGGACTTATGCGGTCTGATAATATAATATAATAATAACAACAACTATAATAATAATAGAAACAAAACAACAACAACAACAACAAATGATAATAATAATAATAATAATAATAATAATAATAAGTGGGATAAGCCCTAAGAGATCAAGGGATGTAGAGGAAAAGGAGTGCTTAGGGGGTCTGTTAATATAATATAATAATAATAATAATAATAATAATAATAACTATAATAATAATAGAAACAAAGCAACAACAACAACAACAACAACAACAAATAATAATAATAATAATAATAATAATAATAATAATAATAATAATAAGAGGGATAAGCCCTAAGACAGTGGTTCTCAACCTTCCGAATGCCGCAACCCCTTAATAGAGTTCCTCAGGTTGTGTTGACCCCCAACCATAACATTATTTTCGTTGCTGCTTCATAACTGTGATTTTGCTACTGTTCTGAATCGTAATGTCATTATCTGATATGCGGGCTAGATTATCATTCACTGGACCAAATTGGGCACAAATACCCAATACATCCAAATTTGGGAGTTGTAGTTGCTGGGATTTATAGTTCACCTACAATCAAAGAGCATTCAATACTCCCACAATGATGGAATTGAACGAATCTTGGCACACATGACTTCCATGAGCAACAGAAAATACTCAAAGGGTTTGGTGGGCATTGACCTTGAGTTTGGGAGTTGTAGTTCACCTACATCCAGAGAGCACTGTGGACTCAGACAATGATGGATCTGGACCAAACTTGGCACAAATACTCAATATGAACTAACAGGAACACTGATGGAGTTTGCAGAAAACAGGCATTGGCATTTGGGAGTTGTAGTTGCTGGGATTTATAGTTCACCTATAATCAAAGATTATTCTGAACCATACCAACAATAGAATTGGGCCAAACTTCCCACACAGAACTCCCATGACCAACAGAAAATACTGTTTTCTGATGGTCTTTGGTGACCCCTCTGACACCCCCTCATGACCCCCCCAGGGGTCCCGACCCCCAGGTTGAGAAACACTGCCCTAAGAGATCAAAGGATGTGCAGGAAAAGGAGGACTTATGGGGTCTGTCAATATAATATAATATAATATAATATAATATAATATAATATAATATAATATAATATAATATAATATAATATAATATAATATAATAATAATAATAACTATAATAATAATAGAAACAGCAACAACAACAACAACAAATAATAATAATAATGATGATGATGATGATGATGATGATGATGATGTATTGTCGAAGGCTTTCATGGCTGGAATCACTAGGTTCTTGTAGGTTTTTTCGGGCTATATGGCCATGTTCTAGAGGCATTCTCTCCTGACGTTTCGCCTGCATCTATGGCAAGCATCCTCAGAGGTAGTGAGTAACTCCAGAGTATCCTGAGACTTTGCATCCTAGACAGTGGATCGGATTATCCCTACCCCTGTTCTAGAGGCATTCTCTCTTGATGTTTCGCCTGCATCTATGGCAAGCATCCTCAGAGGTAGTGAGGTCTGTTGGAATTAGAATGGGTTTATATATCTGTGGAATGGCTGGGGTGGGGCAAAGAGCTCTCTGCTGAAGCTAGGTGTGAATGTTTCAGCTGACCACCTTCATTAGCATTTGAAGGCTTGGCTGAGCCTGGGAAAATGTTCTGTTGAGAGGTGTTAAGATGTGCCTGGATCCTCTCACCTCTGCAGGAGTCTACCGTATACCATGCAGCTGTGGACAAGTCTACATAGGGACCACCAAATGCAGCGCCCAAACACGAATCAAGGAACATGAAAGGCACTGCAGACTACTCCAACCAGAGAAGTCAGCCATAGCAGAGCACCTGAGGAACCAGCCTGGACACAGCATATTATTGGAGAACACAGAAGTGCTGGACCACTCTCACAACCACCATGTCAGACTACACAGAGAAGCCATTGAAATCCACAAGACATGTGGACAATTTCAACAGAAAGGAGGAAACCATGAAAATGAACAAAATCTGGCTACTAGTATTAAAAAACTCTAAAATTACAACAGCAAAACAGCAGAGAGGAAGCAACCACCCAGCCAGCTGTGCCAAAGACCTTCTTCTTCCCAAACTCCCTGCACCCCATAGCATTGCCCCGGGGCAGTTAAAAGTGGTGCTAAACCGCACCATCTCTGCAGTGTAGATGCACTTTTTTTGGCTTGCTTCCTATTGGGAGCGAAAGAGGAGATGGCACCCGCCCCTTGGGAGGAGCAAAGAGGAGGAGGAGGGAGGGAATGAAAGAGGGAGAGAAAGGGAGAAAGGAAGAGAGAGAGAGAGAGAGAGAAAGGCGGAGGAGGAGGAGGAAGAGGAGGAGGAGGGCTGCGGCGAGAGGGAAGCAAAGCACCCGAAGCGGCCGCACCTTCCCCAAGTTTGGAAGCAGAAGGAAAAGAACCGAAGGCGTTCCTCTCCTCCTTTCCCGCATTCCCTCCTTCTTCCACCCCTCCGGAGAAGCCCACCAGCCCTTCCCTCCTTCTCTTCTTTCCATCTGCCCTGATTTTGGGGATTTCGCAGGAGTCGGGGGTCTTTGCGACCCGCCTGCCTTTGCTTTCCTCTCCTTCCTCTCTTTCTCTTGTCTGGTCTTGCCTTCCTTTCTTTTCCCTCCTTTCACCTTCCTTTCTCTCCCTTTCCTTTCCCTGCTTTTGCCATCCCTTCCTTTCTCTTTTCTTTTCCGACTTTTACCTTCCCTTCATTTCTCTCCCTTCCCCTTCTTTTGTCTTCTCGTCTTTTGCATTCTTTTCCCTTCTCTTCCTTTTCTTTCCCGTCTTTTACCTTCCATCTCTTTTTCCTCTTCCTTTCTTTCCATTCCTTCACTTTTCCCTTCTTTTGCCTTTCCTTCCTTTCCATTCTCTTCCTTTTCTTTCCCGACTTTTACCTTCCTTTTCTTTTCCTTTTTCCTTCCCTTTCATTCTTTTCTTTCAGGTCCTTTCCTTTCTTTTCCTTCCCCTTTTCTCCTTTCCCTTCTTTTGCCTTTCCTTCCTTACTTTCTCTTTCTTTTCTTTCTCTCCTTTTGCCTTCTTTTCCTTTCTCTTCCTTTCTTTTTCCTTTCCTTCCTGACTTTTACCTTCCTTTCCTTTTCCCCCTCTTCCTTTCCCTTCTTTTCCTTTCCTTTCCCTCCCCTTCTCCTACATTCTCTTCTTTCAGCCTTCCCTCCTTTCCCTTCATTTTTATCTTCCCTTCCTATCCCTTTCTTTCCCTTCTCTTCCTTTTCTTTCCCTTCTTTTTCCTTCCTTATCTCCCCCCCCTTTCTGTCTCTTCCTTTCTCTTCCTTTTGTTTCCCATCTTTTGCCTTTATTTTCCCTTTCCCTTCTTTTACCTTTCCTTTATTTTGATTTTCTCTTCCTTCTTCTCCCTCTTTCATTCTCGTCTTTCAGTCCTTTCCCCCTTCTTTTCCCTTCTTCCTTTTATTTCCCTTTCCCTTCTCCCATCTTTTGTCTTCCTTTCCATTCCTTTCTCTTCCTTTTCTCTCCCGTCTTTAACCTTCCTTTGTTTTTTTCCTTTCTCTTCCTTTTTCTTTAACTTCTTCCCCAACTTTTTCCTTTCTTTTCCCTTTCCCTTCCTTCTTTTTCTTCTTTCATTCCCTTCTTCTGATTTCTTTCCTTTCCTTTCCTTCCCTTTCATTCTCGTCTTTCAGTCCTTTCCCCCTTCTTTTCCCTTCTTCCTTTTATTTCCCTTTCCCTTCTCCCATCTTTTGTCTTCCTTTCCATTCCTTTCTCTTCCTTTTCTCTCCCGTCTTTAACCTTCCTTTGTTTTTTTCCTTTCTCTTCCTTTTTCTTTAACTTCTTCCCCAACTTTTTCCTTTCTTTTCCCTTTCTTTTTCTTTAACTTCTTCCTCAACTTTTCCCTTTATTTTCCTTTCTTTTCCCTTCCTTCTTCTTTAACTTCTTCCCCAACTTTTCCCTTTCTTTTCCCTTCCTTTTTCTTTAACTTCTTCCCCAACTTTCCCCTTTATTTTCCTTTCTTTTTCCTTCCTTTTTCTTTAACTTTCCTTCCTTTCTTCCCCAACTTTTCCCTTTATTTTCCCTTCTGTTCCCTTCCCTTTCATTCTCTTCTTTTGATTCCTTTTCTATCCCTCCCTCCCTCCCCTTCCTTCCTTCCTTCCTTCCTTCCTTCCTTCCTTCCTTCCTTCCTTCCTTCCTTCCTTCCTTCCTTCCTTCCTTCCTTGAAGGTGATGGATTTGAATCAGGCTCTACTTTTCCTGGCCCGCATCCTGCTCCTTCTTGGCCTTCCTGGCCTCCAGGTGAGTGAATGAATGGACCTCCTTCCATCTATGTTCTAGGCCTAGTCATAATGTATATTTTGTGGGCCATCAGGTCCTTTGTGGCTACAACCATGGCAGGGTTTCCATGAGGCTGAGAGAGTGTGACTCTCCCAGGGCCACTTCCATAAGCCAAGCCAGGATTCGGAGCCCTCGAGAGGGTCTACACCAGGCCTGGGCCAACTTGGGCCCTCCAGGCGTTTTTGGACTCCAACTCCCACAATTCCTAACAGCCTACCGGCTGTTAGGAATTGTGGGAGTTGAAGTCCAAAACACCTGGAGGGCCCAAGTTGGCCCAGGCCTGGTCTACACTGTGCAATAAATGCAGTTTGACGCCACTTGAACATGCCATGACTCAAGGCTATGGAATCCTGGCAGTTACATACAAGTGAATCAGTATGGATTCATACAATAGTATAGATACAATTATAGTAGTCTGATAGTGCTGTGTCTGTCCTGGGACTTGTAGTGTGTACTTAGCAGAGTCATAGGACGGTACTATGTTTAGGATTGCCTGTTTTAAGTTCAAAGGAATGGATCAGAGTGGATAAAAACCTTGTTGTTGAATCTTGTGTAAATAGATGCAGGGTGTGCAATTGAAAGGGGAAATAATAATAAAATATCATTATTATTTATTATGAATTTATTATATAACAATATAATATTATTACAGTTAATAATTATAATAATATTATATTATTATATTATTTTATATATTATTATATAATAAATAAATATTAAATATCATTATTATTATTATTATTTATATTATATTTATTATTTATAATATAATATTATTTTATATATTATATTATATAATAAATATATTAAATATTATTATTTATTAATTATTTATAATTTATATTATATATATATTATATATTATTATATAATAAATAATAAATAAATTATTATTATTATATTATAATAATTGTATTATAATAAATATAATATTATATTTATAATATATAATAAATAAATATTAAATATCATTATTATTTATATTATTATATATAAATATATTATATTATTATTATTTATTATATAATATTAAAATATAATTATAATATTAATAATTATATAATATATATTATTATTATATATATATTATTATATAATAAATAAATATTAAATATATTATTAATAATTATATAATAAATAAATATTAAATATCATTATTATTATATTAATATTATAATATAATATCATTATTAATAATTATTATTATAATAATATCGTATTATTATATTATATTATATATTATTATATAATAAATAAATATTAAATATCATTATTATTTATTATTATTTATTATAAAATATTATAATATAATATAATTAATAATTATAATAATATAGTATTATTATGTAATAATATATTATATAATATTATTTTATATATTATTATATAATAAATAATAATAATAATTAATAATAATAATAATATGGTCATTGGAGGAAGAAGAAAGTGTGCATTTGGAAAACTCATTGTGTGCATCTGGGGCGCATGAGGCTCGTTAAGGATTTATTAATCAGCCCAATGGCCGAGAGAGCGTGCACCCCAAATCCTTTCCAGGGTAAACAACTGAGGCTGAATGGCCATCTATCAGGAGTGCTTTGATTGTGCAGTCAAACATGGCAGAAGGGGGTTGGACTGGATGGCCTTTGGGTCTCTTCCAACACTGTGATTCAATAGGTTTGGCATATCATTATCTGTACGATGGGAATATATATGGGTTTTGTGGGTTGTTGTAGGTTTTTTCGGGCTATATGGCCATGGTCTAGAGGCATTCTCTCCTGACGTTTCGCCTGCATCTATGGCAAGCATCATCAGAGGTAGTGAGGTCTGTTGGAACTAGGAAAAAGGGTTTATATATCTGTGGAATGACCAGGGTGAGACAAAGGACTCTTGTCTGCTGGAGCTAGGTGTGAATGTTTCAACTGACCACCTTGATTAGCATTTGATGCCTGACAGTGCCTGGGGCAATCTTTTGTTCAGAGGTGATTAGATATCCCTGATTGTTTCCCCTCTGTTGTTTAGCTGTTGTAATTTTAGAGGTTTTTTTTTTTAATACTGGTAGCCAGATTTTGTTCATTTTCATGGTTTCCTCCTTTCTGTTGAAATTATATGGGTTTTGCAGGCTCTCTATAAAATCCAGGTTTCAATATACTCCCTTGGATTTTGGAAGAACCTTTCTAGGTTTTGGCATACGCTCAATAGGAATAGATAATTTGAACATCTCTGTGCCTCAGTTTCCCCAGCTGTAAAATGGGAATATATAGGAACACACTGTTTACAATACAAATATATTGATGTAATGTTTCTGGGCCTCAGTTTCCCCAGCTGTAAAATGGAAATATATAGGAACACACTCTCTACAATGGGACTATATTGATTGAATGTCTCCAGCCTCAGTTTCCCCAGCGTAAAATGGGAATATACACACTCTACAATGGAAATATATTGACTGAACCTTCCTTGGCCTTAGTTTTCCAGTTCTAAAATGGAAATAGATAGGAACACACTCTCTACAATGCGAATAGATTGATTGAATATCTCTGAGCCTCAGTTTCCCCAGCGTAAAATGGGAATATACGCTCCCTACAATGGTAATATATTGATTTAACCTTTCTTGGCCTTAGTTTTTCCAGTTCTAAAATGGGAATAGATAGGAAAGCACTCTCTAAAATGGGAATATATCATTTAAATACTCCAGCCTCAGTTTCCCCAGCATAAAATTGGAATATTTACGAACACACACTCTACAATGGGAATATATCATTTGAATATCTCTGAGCCTCAGTTTCCCCTAGCGTAAAATGGGAATATCTAGGAACAAGCACTCTACAATGGGAATATATCATTTAAATATCTCCGAGCCTCAGTTTCTCCAGCGTAAAATTGGAATATTAACAAACACACACTCTACAATGGAAATATATCATTTTAATCTCTCCATGCCTCAGTTTCCCAAGCGTAAAGTGGGAATATCTAGGAACACACACTCTACAATGGGAATATATCATTTAAATATCTCCAAGCCTTAGTTTCCCCAGCATAAAATGAGAATATCTAGGAAAACACACTCTACAGTGGGAATATATCATTTAAATATCTCCATGCCTCAGTTTCCCCAGCATAAAATGGGAATATTTACGAACACACACTCTGGTTTCCAGGTGGAAGGCGGTCTCGGTCGGTGTTGGCTTGACAAGCCTTCCTCTTGGCACGTTTCTCCCTTTCACCTTCCATTCGTGCCTCTTCAAATTCTGCAGCACTGCTGGTCACAGCTGACCTCCAGCTGGAGCGATCAAGGGCCTGGGCTTCCCAGTTCTCAGTGTCTATGCCAGAGCTTTTAAGGTTGGCTTTATAGCATTTGAATCTCTCCATGTCTCAGTTTCCCCAGCGTAAAATGGGAATATTTACGAACACACACTCTACAATGGGAATATATCATTTAAATATCTCTGAGCCTCAGTTTCCCCAGCGTAAAATGGGAATATTTACGAACACACACTCTGGTTTCCTGGTGGAAGGTGTTCTCAGTCGGTGTTGGCTTGACACGCCTTCCTCTTGGCACGTTTCTCCCTTTCACCCTCCATTCGTGCCTCTTCAAATTCTGCAGCACTGCTGGTCACAGCTGACCTCCAGCTGGAGCGATCAAGGGCCAGGGCTTCCCAGTTCTTAGTGTCTATGCCAGAGCTTTTAAGGTTGGCTTTATAGCATTTGAATCCCTCCATGCCCTAGTTTTCCCAGCGTAAAATGGGAATATTTACGAACAAACACTCTACAATGGGAATATATCATTTGAACCTTTCCATGCCTCAGTTTCCCCAGCGTAAAATGGGAATATCTAGGAAAACACACTCTACAATGGAAATATATCATTTTAATATCTCTGAACCTCAGTTTCCCCAGCGTAAAATGGGAATTGATAGGAAAACACACTCTACAATGGAAATATATCATTTGAATCTCTCCATGCCTCAGTTTCCCCAGCGTAAAATGGGAATATCTAGGAACACACACTCTACAATGGGAATATAGCATTTGAATCTCCCCATGCCTCAGTTTCCCCAGCGTAAAATGGGAATATCTAGGGAAACACACTCTACAATGGGAATATATCATT